CAGCTGCCTGGCAGGGGCAAGGCCAGCAGTTATGTGCGAGCAGGTCCTGCCTGCCAAACTGAACACGTGGCAGCTAGCCACAGGCAAGTTGTGCATGCTGCCCAGGGGTGGAGGGGAGCGCAGCCCCGCCGCTGCACTCACCTGCAGGCTGAAACAGTCGAGGATCAGAGCCTCACCCCAGACGTGGGCGCTGGGCGGGTGCAGGGCCCTCTGGATGTGCGAGTCGGGGCCCACACGCCAGCAGAGGTGGTCGACAGTCAGCAGTGCCCGCTGGTGCATGGTCTGGGGGCGCAGGTGCTGGTAGTCTGTGGGTGCGAAGCCAGGATGACTGCAGGCTGGGCCAGCGCATGTTACGTAGGCCACCCAGACACCTCCCCTCCTGGGGCAGTCCCTGGGCCTGGATGCCCCCACATGGACAGCCAATGCACTGGAAGGTGCCTACTCCAGACACCCTCTTAACTGCCAGGCCCATAGGGCTCGTCTCTGCAGGAGCCCGGGCTGAACTAGGCTCCCCTCGTTATGCACCTGCCGCTAGCAAAGCCCTAGCCCCCATTCCCAACCCTGACAGAGAAGCCGAACCACATCAGCCAGGTCTCTGCGCAGCTGCTCGCACCTGCTGTGATGGAGTTGAAGCCCAGGGCAAAAGGCGGCGTGTCCCCCAGCTGCACCGAGACACTGACGTTGGACAGGGAGGCAGAGAGGACAATGGGAGCCAGGATCTGGGGGCAGCTCCTGCCACAAGGTGGGGAAAGACCAAGAGTTAGCGGCACAGAGCCCTGCGGCCTGAAGGAGGCCCCTCTGTCAGGAACATGGCTGGCCTGGCTCCCACGGCAGTCAGTACAGCCCCAGGACAACCAGCAGCAGCCGGCCAGAGACATGCACACCACGCACCCAACCTGCCCTGGCTGGGGACGGCACTCACCTGCCCTTGTGGCCCTGGTGGGCGGGCAGCGGGTGGCGACCCCAGCTCTCCTGCGCCAGCACGCCAAGCCAGTGCGAGAACTCCTGGTGTCGGTAGTGGACGATGCAGGTGTTGAGCAGCACAGCGGCCGACACGTCGATGGCCGTGACCTGGCAGCAGGGAGGGAGGTGAGAGTGGGATCCACCCCCCAGCTCCGCACACGGAGCCAGAACCAGGCAGTGAAGAAACAGGGGTGCCGAGGGGCAGGGAGTCCGGGCACAAGCAGGCACTGAGGCACACTCACCTGGACACTGGACTTCAGCGAGCTCAGGCACACGATGCGCTGGCGGCTCTGGGACAGCAGCAGGCCATCTGCAGGAAGAGGGGGCAGCGGCGGGTTAGCTGGGCCAGAGCTGCAGCCACCCACTGCGGATACACCACGTGAAGCCAGGAGGGGAGGTCCCTGCGCGAGAGCCCCCCGGGCTGAGCCCGCCCTGCCCCTACCCTGGAGCCCGCCTGGCACTCGCCTTCCAGCAGCAGCTCCACGCTCATCTGGTCCAGGTCAGAGGCAGGCGTGAAGCTGCGCAGCGGGTGCTGCTCCTCGTCGCGCTGGTACAGGAACTGCAGCAGCTTCAGGGTCCACGTGAGGTGCCTGCAGCAGCCGGCCCCGGGTGCAGGGTATGAGGGGAGGGCCTGTCGCACCACTGCCCCTGCCGCCCTCCCTCCCAGCCCAGCGCGCACCAGCTGGCAGTCTCCTTGTCTCCAAGGGGCAACTGCCTGCTGCCCCCACCCCTAAGACCACGCTCATTCTGCCCCAGAGCCGCTGCCTGGCTCTGCACAGAGCCCCCTGGGGCATTCTCGCCTGCCACAGGCTCACAGCCAAGGAGGATGGGCAGAGACCGGGCACCAGGGGCAGAAGAGCCCCTGCACCAGGGACAAGTAGCACAACAGCCCCTGCAGGCACAGGCACTGGACCCATTCTCTGCCCCACCGTTACCTCTTCTGGCTGTTCATTGACAGCACCACGCTAGTGCTCTCCAGCTGCACCTTCACCTTGTTGGGGATGAGCTGCAGGGCACCCACACCCAGCGGAGACAGCGCTGTGGGAGCTGCCTCAGGGCCTGAGAGGGGCACAGTCATATGCCATCGAGCCCAGAGCTCCCCACTCCTCCCTGGTAGCATCCAGCCCTACTGCCCCCAGCCCAGCTCCCACCACACCCCTAGGGCCGCAGAGAGCCCAGGGGGCCCCAGGTACCCATTCCCCCACCCCACCGCCCCCCACGTATGAAGACCAGACCTGGGGCAGGGTCAGCAGGTGGGTCCCTGGCGCGGCTCCGTCTCTCGCTGTGGGCCACCCGCCGCAGCAGCTCGCTGCTGAACAGCCCCTCGTGCAGCTCGGCCTGCAGAGTCCACACGCCCAAGCTGACGCCCGTCAGCTGCCGCTTGCTCAAGCTGACCTGCACGGAGAGGGAGAGCGCCAGCGCCAGCTCCGCCAGGCACGTGTCGTCCTGTGGGGGGAAAGGAGGGAGTCGAGGAGCCTGCCGACCTCCCAGGGGAGGCCCTGCTCAAGGCAGAGCTTCCTGCCTGCCCTTCCTGTGCCCAGCAATGCCTGAGCGCAGCCTGGTCTCAGCGCCCAGCACAGGCCACCGCAGCATCCTGCCGCCCCTCCCGGGGACTAAGCCCTGCCCCGTCCTGTGCTGCGGGTTTCGTGTCCAGCTGGCACCTCGCACTAGAGGAGCCCACGTGCTCTGGAGCCGGCTCCAGGTCTCCTGGTGCCACAGCCCCAGCCGCGCTCAGCAGGGACGGCAGCAATGGTGCGGTTCCTCCCAGAGCTCCAGCTGCAACCCCAGCCTCCTCCCCAGGGGCCCAGGCAGCTACAAGGCACCGGCCCCGACACTCACCAGCTGGCTGCTCCTCAGCACCTTGCTGTTCACCTGCGTCAAGGTCACCTCGCAGTCCAGGCTGGGGGGCAGCAGAAGGGAGATGAGCCCCACCCGCCCCCACTGCTGCTCCGGACAGGCCCTTCCCTGCCCCGAGCCCGAGCTACCGCCGCTGCAACGGGGAGCAGGCTGCCACGGGGCGTTCTTGGCCAGAGGGCATCTGACCCACCCTCAGGAGGGCCCACTGGGTACCAGGATGGTTCAGGTCCCCGGGGAGAAGGCTCCAGGACCACCACTGTGCGGCCTCGAGGAGGAGCTGGGGAGCGGCAGATGGGCCAAGCGGTGGCGGTGTACTCCCCAGCAAGGAGGGGTCACGGTCTGAACTGGGGTCACGTGAGAGGTGGGGGCTGGGCAGGGCTCTCCTGGTTGCGGGCAGCTGACCCCTGGCCCCCGCCCGCCACGTTACCTCCTGCCGTCGCTGTCCAGCAGGAGCCGAGTCCTGGTGACCTGGATGTGCCAGAGCGACTCGGAGGTGGCCACGTGCAGCACCATGATGTTGACGGAGTCCACGTGCACGGAGACGAGCTGAGGACGGGGAGGCAGTGAGGACGGTTGGGGGGAGCCCCCCGCCCCCCAGCACCCCTGCTCCTCCGGGCCTCACCTGGCTCAGGACCCGCAGCAGGGAGGGCTTCACAGGCAGCTCCCGCTCCCCCTCCTCTCCGCCCCCATCCCCGGGAGCCGCGGGGAACGGGGGCAGGCGCCCGGGGGCCTTCTGCAAGTCCAGGCGGATCCGCACCTCCCCGAAGCACAGCGCCAGGTAGCGCCTGGACGGGGAAACAGCGCCAGGCCGTTACCACGGCTCCCCCCACCCACGGGTGCCCCCACGTGCTGCCCAGCGCAGGCCCGGTGCCAGGGCCGGCGGAGCCCCAGGCCAACGCAGCGGGGATCCCGGGGTACGCACGGCAGCTCCTGGCTCAGCAGCTTGCTGGAGATCCAGACGCTGTCGATCTCCTGCGGGGGGACAGAGGCGAGGCAGCGGGCTCTGCCGCCCGCCCGCCCGACCGCGCTGCTTTCG